CGTGATAACTTTTCGTAAGAATTTTTTCCGTCTAGCCCCCTTTCACAACGCGCGATAAGGAACTTCGTTCCAATAACAAACAACACTAACAAATTCAAACGTAACAAAAAACAACAAAACGTGTTAAACAGTAACAATAATATTAATGACGCGACTGTACACGGGATGTGTGCGGGGCGTCGTATCGGTGCGGGGGACGGAATGTGACTGGACTGGAGAGCCAATCGACGCTACGCGCGCCCGCTCTTCATTCCGCTAGCCCCCCTCAGGTACCTTATTTTTTACTTCTGCGCAATAACGGTCAGCGCTAGAGTTTCGTGCCGCCAGCCGCTACTTGTACGATCCGATTCACCCCGAAAGTTGGGGCGATTCGGATATTATCCTTTTTTTAGTTTTTTTGGTTTAAGAATAACTTTATTTCTCATAAGAATTGAAAATTCACTTACTGAGAAACACATATTTAAAACTAAGATTAAAAATTAGAGCGCACAGATGTAGGTACATATATAAAATAAGAAAACAGAACAGCACCAAAAATGTGGGTAGACATAAAAAACTTGGTCAGTCAACCAAGCGAAACACGGATGTTAGAATTTAATTTTTTCTAGAATTTAATTTTTTTCTAGATGTGGCATTGATGGCATAGTCTGATATAACAAGTTTATATTGATTATTTTATTATTTTTCATAAGACTATTTTATTTTCAGTTTATTCCTATATTTATATATTTAGGGTATGTACAAGGTTTATAAAACATTTTTACAAATTAAAATCACCTATAGGCAGATTTTGGTCAATATCAAATACAATTCTTTAACACCGTGAGTGGTGTTAGTTTAAAGTTCTTAAACATTATACATTTCAAGTGTTATCGCATTCTTGTCGATATATATATATATAAATATACATATTATATTTTGATCACTTATTTGTATGTAATTAATGTGTAAGTTTTTAGAAGCTTTTTTAAATCGGGCATAATTTTGTTCTGCTTTTATAACTGATGGTAACTTATTATAAATTGTACCACCCTCATACTCCAAACTTCTTTTGCCATAGTTAGTTCTAGGAGGGCGGGTCACCAAGTAACTAGCACGTCTTAAGTTAGCATTTCGTGTTTGTTGTTTGGTTAAAAATTTTATATTAGAATTAATTTCCCTATTTAATATTTTGCGTACTAGAATACAAGTGTAGTATGTGTACGTTTGTTTAATATTCATTAATTTTGTTTCCTCGTATATCCTTTCCGTAGGCGTCCGAAGTTTATAGTTAAATAAGTTTTTAATCAATCTATTCAGAGTTCTCTGGATAGGATCCAAATTACTCTTTGCTGCAGTACCCCAGACCTCAATGAGGTAGTCGACATGAGGCTTAACCAGAGAATTATAGATCAGATACCGCACTTTTTGTGGGAGACAATTTGTTATGTTTCGCAGTGCCCCTGTGAGCGGAGTTAGTTTAAGTTTAATTTTTTCTAGATGTGGCTTCCAAGTTAGGTTACTATCCAAAATAAGTCCGAGATATTTTTCTTTATGTTTTCGTTCAAGTATTTTTCCGTCTATTTTAAGTTCGAAATTATTATTTATTTTTTGCTGCAAAAATAACATAATTTGTTTTTGTAATATTAATAGTTAAAAGATTTGATTGAAACCACTCATTTAACAGATTAAGATCATTTTGAGCGTCAGCTATTAGAGCTCCGATCGAGTTTCCAAAGTAAAAGAGACTTGTGTCGTCTGCATAAAGGGAGATGTCACCTTTGAGACCCAAATCACTGATACTGTTAATATAAATGAGGAACATGAGGGGGCCTAATATTGATCCCTGGGGAACGCCAAAATTCAGGATACAGGAATTGCTTTCATATTCACCTATTTTTACTATTTGTTTTCGGTTCTCCATATATGATTTAAAAATTTCAAGTGCTTTGCCTGTAACACCGGTAAGTTTTAGTTTTTGTAATAATTTTTCATGACTAATGGTGTCAAAGGCTTTTTTTAGATCGATAAATATACCTAAGGCAACTTGTTTTTGATCAATTTTATTTTTAATTTTGGTTACGAGGTCAATTGTGGCAGCGAGAGTATTTGATTGAGCTCTAAAGCCATATTGTTTTCGGTAAAAGAAACCTTTTGAATTAAGGAATGACTCTAATTGGTTATAAAGAATCTTCTCAAAGACCTTAGAAAGCACTGGGAGAACTGATATAGGGCGATAATTGCACGGGTCAAGCTTACTTCCGGCTTTATGAATTGGTACAACTTTTGCAACCTTTAACTCGTTGGGAAAAATACCTCGTGCCAAATGATAGTTAATGCAGACTGTTAGTTCCGTGGCAATAATGTCTTTTACGCATTTAATTGATTTTGTACTAATACCATCAATGCCAGATGCAGTGTTACAGTTTTTAATAGCTAATTAAGAGAATATATGTATGATAAAAGTTTTCAAATGTTTATTGCATAGCTAATTGTTACTTCTTACGATTTTATCAATAAAAATAACATTTTATAACACTTTAGTATGATTTGCTCAACCTCAAAGAAAAAGTGATCCGATTCGCCTCGGTCAACTATAAATACCGTAAAAATAGTTATTATTAATAACAAATTGGTTAATTCAATCAATTAATTGCTCTCGGAAATGATATTGGTATGATCATATTGATGTGTGAACTAGTTTAAGAAACTACTAGCTACCTAGGTACTTTATTAAGAAAATTACGTTTTCCGTTTCAAAAAGTTTCTTAGGATCATCTACAACAATAATTTTTTTTTTTATATTTGTAACTGCTTCAAAAAAAGCTGATTTTAGTGTGACGTTTTTTATGAACGGCTCCTTATATGGGGGAGTCAATAATCTCCAAAAATTGCGTGACGTAATACTTGAACGCTCCCTTAGATATAAAAATACTTTTTGTAGACTTGTGTGTAATGGCTAAGACAAAATTACACAATAGATTAGAGATTTTAACTGCTGACTAACATATTTCCGTGGGATGAACAAAGTGTCGGAACATCGACAACAATAAAACTGCACGCTTATTTCAAACGTCATTTATTCATCGCACATACAAAGTTACGATAACGAATGCGGCAAATACATAATATAATATTATACTCTGTACAAAAAAAACAATGGATTAAATAAAGCAAGGAAATAGACAGCCCGATTGAATACTAATATTTTATAAAAATCAAACAATCCAAATACATATATACATTTGATTAATCTGGACTAGGATTGTTATAAAAAAACTTAGGGGAAGATCGTTACCCTTCGTACGGGGGCACATTCATACAGTCAAAATAAAACTTGAACGAAATAAAGTAAGTCTTGCTTTTGTATGTGTGATGAGTCGAGGTACCAACTATACATCAACGAAGTTTCGTGAAATTCGACGTGAGTGAAGTTACAGGCATAGACTTCGGCTGTAGTAATTTGATTATGTTTTTATCTTTGACCGTAGATAAAATAAGTTTCGTAGAGTATTATCGTAATAGAAAATATACTTAGATACTTCAATACTTATTTATGACGTTTTCCTATTAATATAAAAAAGTTATATTGGGTAATGAAGATAGATGGGGCACATTTGTACGAATTGTACACTAATTTGTATAATAAGTCGACGGAACTTTTTTCATAAAATTAAGTTTGATTTTACATATTACACTACTGAGGATTTGACTAGGTTATTTTGATTTGTGAACCAGATGTGTGAAAATACCAATCCATAAAGATTCTTGATGTTTGAAGAGGCATTTCGACCTATTGATTGTAAGAAGTAATAAAACAAGCAAAATGACGATACGGCCAGGAAAACCACGAATTTATACTGCCACACCCGAAAATAAGAAGTTGTAATCCACACCAAAGAGTAAAAAATGTAATTCTAAATTTAAGATACCTAATAATTAAATTTTGTTTTACATAAGAAAATATTTTATTTTTGTTTAATAGAAATTAAATCTTTATTTTTTTTTAATTTCATTGTAATAAATGAATTTTGAACTACCCCACAGCTAAGAAGGTACCCCAAACACTGTAGAAGGTGCCCGTTGATGGGGCAGATTGTATTTCAGATTTAGTTTAAATCATAATTATGGTTGAAACATCGGATGAAATCATTTATTTTTTTATTTGAATCTCAGATAGTTAGACTATAAATTTAAGTATAGGTAATCATGGAAAAATAAAAAAATTAAAAAATAAAATGTAAACGGGGTTCCCTATATTTAATTAATTCAAATTATAATAAAATTGTCCTAAGTAAAAAAAATTGAACTACAGTAGCTGATATCCATGTTGAAATGTACTGATTTGAAAATTTTGAGTAGAATGTAGTTTAATACTTCATGAAGGCGGTCGATAAAACAAGCAGACATTAATTTTTATGCAAAAACACTTCTATATAGTGCATATTTTATTATGGATATGCGGAATCTTCTATAAAATACAACTTATTAATAATTAAGTAATTATGTAGACGACTAGTATTTCTAGAATCAATATTTGTTCTTGAAATTGCAGAATAGTGCTAGATGATAGTGATATACTGATATTTATTAGTGTAAATAAATTGCATCTAAATAAATTAAATTCAAATTGAATTCCAAACGTTTTTCTATTACTAATGGAATGCCTGTTATTAATTTAATGAATTTTATTGACTTAGTTTATGTAGAGACACTTCATATATAATCTCATAAAAACATTATAAAGTTAGGTATGCATTGTTTGGTGTTACAAATTTAAAAACTAAATATTAACTAATAGAGATGTGTTGGACCATTTAAGATCTTCATGAAGGTGAATATAATTAATATACTTAGATATTAAATATAAAAATATTGCAGTATTATATTTACAACACTTAATCTCCACTTCACATTTCGGTTTTGACATGTGGCTATTATTATCCGTTATCATGATATTTGGTATATTACGCGATATGATTCGCGATAAATGATCTATACCAATTAATATTACTTACATATTATATATTTATGGTATCTGGGTTATAGGCAAGATTCACTACTGGTGAGGAAGCTCCATAATCTGGAGTAGATGGCGTTGACACAGGGGTTGTATCAATCGGTCGTAATAGTACGGGAGCCACGTATTCCTTAGGGGTGACACTGGATTCTTCTTGCAGAGGTGCTGGTGGTGTGCAACTAGGGAATGGGCTAAGCAATAAAAACGTCCCAAATGTGACAATAGATGCCATAATAAGAATTATTGTACGAGCTTCGAAGCCTGCTCGCAAACCCGCCCACGCAGCCATATTAATAAGTAAAAGTAACACTGCGATTCGTATAAGTCGCACGGCTGTCGAATGAATACGACCTCCGCCAACTCCACTCATGTCACTTGGACCATAAGCAAAGTACAAATTATGTTTGTCGCCAATGTGTTTCAAAATAAAGTAAATTAGTCCAAATGGAGAAACCAAAGGGCATGCAAGACTGTACACCATTGTTATAGAAAAGATTGCTAGACTCCAAGCGTAATGGACTCCAAAGGGGAATTCATACAAAATCGCTTTTTTTACGTAACTTTTTTCAGCTTTTGATTTCGATTGCATAAGATACCATACATAAAGAAATAGTTCAGGAAAGCGAACCAGTTCAAGTGAAGTGCCGATGAACCCTGAGGTTATTACATAATTTACAAAGAATGCGCCTTTATCGGGTAAAAACACGCAATCCCAGCGCATTGTCTGATTGACGTGGTGCAATGTCCAGCGGAATAAAGCATCTGCACTAGCCAATCCCAAGGAAGGTAATATTAAAGTCATGAGTAGTAGATATGTTACAGTTTTTGTCATTATAGAATAATTCTGCTGTGATCTTGTCCAATGGGATAAAAATTTATCAGAAAAGGAAACCAGTGCAGGCATCACAGCTGCCATAGTCCAGAGTAATAAAGTAGGCAGAAAATCCAAAATAAGGCTATTAAATTTGCTTACTGACTCTGGTTTAACTAAAACATTCTTCACTAAATTTACAATAAAAGCTGGAGTTGTCAAAAAGAACAAAACAATAAACAGGCAAAAATTAACAGCAATGGCCTTGACATACCACACTCCTGGCTGAACACTAAGGTTTTCCCAAATTATGTCAGATGGATTTGTTGCATGAGTCAGAACCCAACCTCGATGCAAACTAAAATTGGTAATAACATGCTCAGCTAATTGATAAGAGGGTAAAGTTAAGAAAGCTATACCCAATGGATCATTGAGTACTATGGCCCTACACCTTTTTGATTCATCCTTCAAACGCTTTTCTTCATTTGTGTAGTACTCAAGGGCATCAACATCAGGTCCACAGAGTTGGGGGCGCACTGTTATTCTTTTCCCAGTTTTCTTAAAATAAGTGTCTGTGTAAACTAAAGCTTCAGAAACCATTTCTTTCCTCTCTTGTACATCAATTAGTTTATTTACATTGAATGCCATTTTTAGGTCCACAATTTGTATATGTGGGAAATTGTGGGCGAAGTAAGCTCTTATTGTTGCTTCATTTCTATCTGCTCTGGAGATATTTGTTATCATTATTGTTCCAGTCATGGATGTAGGAACAGGTTTTCTTCCTGTACATCTTCTCATTATCAATACAGATACTGGCAAAAATGAGATGCTTATCAAAGTATGAACCCATAGCCAATAAGATGTACCTGTAAGGTTTGACAAAGTAGTTCTACTGAATGTGCTTGCATCAACTTGCAAATTTGTTCCTTGAAAGTTTATTGGCAAAATAATACCAATAGAAACTAAAGTGACAATTAACATAAGTGTTATAGCATGGCGTTGGAATGAGAGATAATGTACAGCATCTGGGCCACACTTTGCAAGCACTTGTTCGCGAGTGAGACGGAACACAGCCGGAAGCCACGTGAAGAAACCTTCATCAATATTGAGAGACTCATCGGTATTGCGACGTCGATCAACAAGCGCGTCATCATCGCCGCCACGGTAGAAAAGGTTCGTCCAGCGATTCTTCGATCGTTGCACTAGTGCCATACGTCCATAATTCCATGCTGTACGGCGCAATACAGAGAATAATAAAATTAAACAAACCCATGATATGACATTTAAAATCAAGGTCTGCGGAATTCCATTGTATGCTCCAGTAATTATCACATTTTGTGTTGAATTCCATAACATACAACCCTCATCATCGGTTCCGTTTGAGGAATTTGATGACAGTGTATATAAAAAACCATCAGAAGTAAAACGACTCATTATTGGTGTTGTAATACAGCAGCAGTGAAAGGACAAGTATCACATAATTAACACTAAACTCAAAAAGCACTTCATTCAATGTACCGATGACTCACACTTATTATACTTTTTAATACATACAATTTTTAATATCTGGAACTTTCGATAGTTAAATCTACACTAAATCGTTAATGCAATTGCAAACAAAATCATATAAATATTACGAGTTCTCAACTTTGTTTCGAATTTCGATTGGAAAATGGATATTGGAAAAAATTATTGTTGTCACTTATTGACTGACACTGTCAACGTCAATTTAAAAAACATAAACGACAGCTGGTTTTAAGTGTACCAAATGAAAGCATTTTACGCAAAACAGAGGAGTTCTCGCGCGAAAAATACTAACGAGTAACGAGGCGGAAGACATAATGTCATAAGGCCGGCAACGCACTCGCGTGCCCTTTGGTATCGAGAGTGTCCATGTGTGGCGGCATCACTTAACAACAAGTGAGCCTCCTTTCCGTTTGTCCCATGTTTTATAAAAAAATGGTATCGCGAATGGTTTATCATTATTGATTCAAAAAAATATGATGATGTAGAAATGATCACAAGGTATGTCGATAGCGGGTGATTCCTACAATAACAAACCATTTGTCCAGGCTATTAAAAAAATAAACGTTATATTATAATTAAATGTAATGTGTATAATTAATGTTTTTTGGTGCAAGTCATACTAAATTACTTAGATTTATATCCTGAATAATATTTTAGAGCACATGATCAAAATTTCTATGTTTTGTTCACCGCTGGAGTTCCGATTTAGACCATAGTATGTACAACACAAATAAATCAATATCAAAATCAAACTATTATTGTCACTGTAAAAATAAAGAAAAGTGGCAAAATATGGCAAGCCCTTGCTGTATTATAGTACATATATATAATATAAGCTTGCTAGTAAGTTTTTTTTTTTAATTTTTGATTTTTCGTAAGTAATCAATTCACGCACAGACTAGTTAGTAGTTAGTAACATTGGTGTAAAAATTAATTATGAAACATGAATGAGGTCCAAAGAGAGTAAGAGGTTTTGTAATGAAGCAATCTCAATAGTTGTTTAATTTTAATTAAATTTTTAGATATGTGTTTTATTGTTACCAATATTAATTACTACAGTTGTTCAATAGCAAATTAAACAAATAAGCGATGGAATTCGATTGGAATAACTATTTAGAAGACAATAAAAGCGTTGCTGTCCCTGAAGAATTATTTTCTCACGTAAGTCCATAACTGTAGGATCATAATATAAAGTATCAGTACAATAATATTTATTTAAACTGTTTGCACATAAATGTTTTGCTTATAATAAATTCTTTTTTTTATTGAGAACTTTGATGGGCAAAAGGGCGAAGGTATATTAATCAGCATATTGTCTAAAATTAAATGCCACATGTTTATTATAAAGTTATTTCAGTTTATATAATGTTATCTTTGAAAGAAGAAAAGTTAATTAATTTTCAATGTTAAGTAATATAGAAGTTAATTTTTACTGCTTTAATTTAATAAATACAAGGTCAACAATTATGTTTCTTATATTTAATGTTTAAAAATAAATATAAATAAGAAAAATATGGTTTTCGAGTGATAAAATATTAATTAAATTCAGGGGTTAAAATTAATGATATCTAAAGTTTAATTTATTTTACCAGGTTTATCTACTTAAATAAAAATATATGTTTATCTTTTATAAATAGATCAGTAGGTTATCAGGATTTGTTTTGGATTTTTCTTCTATTTCTTTTAATACTGAAGGCAAATTAAATTAATGAGTCAAGCAATATTAATGTAATGTGGTAGACATATGCATAGTAAAATCTTGTTTTAGTAGAAAGCTTAATTTTCATGTGTTATCTGGTACAACAGTTTAACAATTTGTATAGTTGTGGATTAAAAATTTTCAATCAAAGTCTAGAGTCAACTACCATAACCAATTTAAGAGTTATCGCTTGAGATTTTATTAAAACTATATATTTATGTTCAAAAACAAAACAACATAAACAACTAGAAACATTTTCTTTAAGTTTCACTGCATCACATGTTGGGTACAGCTGCCCAAATATATCTTCAAAAATATCCTCATTACATGAATTAGTACTGACAAGTTTTATAATTATACAGGTAGAACTCAGTCTTCATAATGGAATCAAACAAGGCATGCTCCTTGAAGTTTGCCACAAAAACAATCCTGACATCTACTGGATAGCCGAAATAACTATGGTTTGTGGGCACCTCCTGCGCATCAAATTTATTGGAGCTGAAACAGACTTCTGGTGTGACATATCCAATACTAAAGTCCATCCCCTGGGGTGGTGTGGGAAGTATGATGAACTAATAGAACCGCCTGATGAAATTAATGACAGATGTGGAGACTCAATCATAGAAATCATGAAAAAAGCCCTTGTGGTTGGTCAATCTGTGTCGATGGAAGCTTTAAATAATAAAGGACTCTCTCCAATAGATAGAATTAAAATTGGTATGAAAGTGGAAATACAGAATTCTTTGGATCCATATAAATATTGGATTGCTACTGTAAGTTACTATATTAGTATACTATACTTAAATAGAAAATAACAACTTGGAATAGTTTTACAGATGGCTCATCAATAAGCTTTTATGTACATATTTATAATCTCTCAGTTTAGGCATTGTCTATTAGAAACACATTACTTCCCAAACTTAATATTATCGCTATTGCTGACCACAAAACATCATTCATAATAATGTACAATAATACATTTTACAAAATTTTATATTTTTTTTAGAATTTTAATTTTATATTTTTCTAGGTACATGATAATATTGGTGGTCGTCTCTTGGTGCGTTACGACGGTGCAGACGATGATCTGCCACAGTCGTGGTTATTTTTCTCCAACCCTAGAATAAGTACCTTTGGTTCTGTTACTAATAAGGTGAGATTTAATGAGCGTTTTTCAAGGCAGTTTTTGCCGCGCACCACCACTATGTGGAACCAGCTGCCCACTGAAGTATTTCCGAACCAATTCGACTTAGGGTCCTTCAAGAAAAGAGCGTACCAATTCTTAAAAGGCCGGCAACACACTCGCGAGCCCTCTGGCATTGAGAGTGTCCATGGGCGGCGGTATCACTTAACATCAGGTGAGCCTCCTGCCCGTTTGCCCCCCGTTCTATAAAATAAAAAAAATTTTTGTCCGACAAGACATGTCTGGCTTTATAAAGGCCCATTTAGATGGAGAGAGTTTCTCGTTTATCGATCGTACGTGACTATCACCAGCATGTTTAAAGATATGCATCAAAATGTTTACATACAGACAAGAACTAAATTCTGACCGACGATTATGTTACGAGAATCGCCAGTGATTTTTCGCTAGGCGATAATTTCCTGCGTCTGTTTACACATCGACATTACAGTAAGAAGATTCTTACTTATATTACGAAAATCTCGACTAGTATAAACACGATCTCGTATGACATTTTTTTATGTTCTTACGAGTATCGTACAAATCGGTTTGAACCGTTTTGAGTGCGAGATGTTTCATTCTAGTTTAGTGGTTACTAGGGTATTGTTCTCAAAAATGACACAAAAATCCTTTTAATTTTGGTGCTGCCGATAATATTAAGTTAATTGAACTTTTTAGAAGTTACGAGTGTTTGGGGAACACGGGAAAAATAAATTATAAAAACCAATTTTGTAACCCAAAATATTTTTTTCCCTTTCCGTTTAATTAATTCTTGTATTAATAATTATAACACCCTCACGCACTACACTCATGGTAGCAACTGCCACAAAACCTCGAAAAACGATTATTGCTTTTGGAATTCTGCTTACACGGAAACAATAAATTTTCCATTGCGAGGCAATTGTCGCCAAAGTGGAAGAGCAATTGATGTGAATGTTTAGACGAAGAAACTTTTTTATATTCTTTCGATAATACCTTGGAGACGAGAAACTCTCTCCATCTAAATGGGCCTTAAGAATGGCCCTAGGGTCTGTCAAAAGACAGAATTCTTAAAAGACTAGTTTTTACCAAGTTTATTGGGCCAATAAAAAAAAACATTATTTTAAAACTTCAAATGCTATGTTAATATAACTTAATCCATGTCATTTGATCTTTTTATTTTAATATACATAGACAAAAAAAAAAATTTCTGTGTGACCATTTAATTAATGCTTGCGTAATAATACTACAGTATATTAACTGAAATTTCGTAGGGAAAAAAACAGCTGCTCAAAATATAACAGCAAATACTTTCTCATTATGAAAACTGATACAGAGATATCTGAAGCCAATAGGCTCTTAATACCACTAGTTTCTTAATTGCAATAAAGTTTTAATAAAAACGAAATATTAAAACAATTATACACTATAAAATTATTCTTATTGTCAGGGTTCACCATGGCAGTTCAAATATCCGGGCAAAGTGAATAAGTTTTCATGCAAGAACAAATTGAGTGCACAACTAAGGCAGAGCGCTGAAGAATCTATAAAGGAACCAACACCTTCTGATTTATTTCAGGTAATTTTCATCAACGTTTATTAAATTAATATAATACATATTTATTCTTTAACAAATTTTAACTCTACATAAAAGGTTATAAAATGAATGATGGCTGCATTGTAAGCAAGTCTCTTAACATTCACATCATTTAAAATTTGTATTTCCCTGCCTCCATGGTTTAAATGTTGTAGTCCTAATATCTATGGTGTGGTCACTGGGTAAAATTGACATTTCTTAATAAGTGCTAATTATCACGCGTATTCTATTAAGTGTATTTTTAACATCCACAGGCCAATCAGACTTATGAAGCTCATAGCTTCTCAACGGGAATGAAAGTGGAGGCACTAAATCCTGAGGATATGAAAACCATACAACCAGCTACTGTTACCAAGATCTTTAATAACCTACATTTTTTAGTTGTCTTTGATGACCATTTAGAAGACTATGAAGATACCAGAATGGCCTGGCTGTGTGATAGCATGCATCCATACATTTATCCTATAGGCTTTGCTAAGCAAAACAACATTCCATTCAAGCAACCAAAATCCTGTAAAGATAACTTCGACTGGGATGAATATCTGGCTGACACTTCTTCTGTCCCTGCGCCAGAATATTGCTTTGGTAAAAAGGATTTGCTTAAAGACATCAAGCCAGACATGAAGTTGGAAGCCGTTAACCCACTCAACCAAGAAGAAATCCACGTTGCAAATATAGAAAGAATAGCCGAACATATGGTCTTAGTGGAATTACTTCCGATTGGCGATAAATTTTGGTATTCTCAAGACAGCGACCTCCTTTTGCCTGTTGGGTGGTGCGATAGCAATAATTACGAACTACATATACCAGATGTGTCACCTAAGGAAGTTCCAAAAGACCCTCCGGCAGCCAAAAAAGTGCGGGAAGAATTGAAAACCACCGAGGAATGGTGCGATAGGATATTCTTTAACTACAAATGCTATGCTGGTCCATCTATTAGTCGGAACAAATTGTCTCAGTTGCCAAAACATGTTGGACCAGGTCCCTTGAGTCTGGTCTTGAAAGAGGTTTTAAATAAAATCATATCAGCGTCATACAAGCCAGCTAAATTATTGAAAGATTGGGAAACTGAAGGTCCGCCCGAAGAGGGTATGAGGCTTGAGATGTTGAGAGCCAAGTAAGTAAAGTCGTCTTGTCCGTAATAAAAAATGTTTCTGTCGTATACTTCCTCCCACTTCCAATATTTGTAATGTAATATTTATAGTACTTTTTCTACTTTAACATCCGTTCGAACGGCGAAGGAAAACATCGTGTGGAATCCAGGTTGCCTTAGACCCAAAAAAGTCGAGGGCGTGCGTCAGGCACGATCAACTTGCCTATTAGATAAACAAATGATCATGAAACAGATACAGAAATCTTAGGCCCTGACCTAAAAAGGTTATAACGCCATTGATTATTATTTATAGTACTTCCTCTTCTATTCTTCAAAATATTTCTATAATAATTACAGTGTTTAAATACCGTCCCGAATAACGTGTGTATAAAATGTTAAAATATATTTAGTTGACTTCTATAAAAAAATCTAGAAAAAATTTACGCGTAGGTACCGTATAGAACAATACTGAATAGAACCTTTAGTTAATAATACGTTTTACTGAAAAACTCACAATGACCAATGTTATAAAAACATAGTTGTTTTTTTTATAGCTTGAATATAGGCCTATCTATTATTAGTCTTGCCTTAACATTCATGGTAACCCCTGTAAAAAAAAGTTAAAATTGAATGGCCTAGTTGGTACTTTCTTTAAAGCTGAATCCTAGAATAAACATAAGCGATAACCTCGGTATATTTCGACCATTGCAGACTTAAAACAAGTACATACCACGCATACGTCCCCGTAGTAACTTCGCCGGATCAAGTTGTGTCTTTCTGCCGCTCCGTGTGTGTTAAGCTGCAGGGATGCCCTGTCTTATTCGGACCTACACATTATCCTGACGTGTGCCCCAACAACTGCCAAAATGTTGATAAGTCTACATTCCGTATGTATTATTCTGTTTCTTTTCGCTGTTTCTAATATAACGTTCCCTGTATAAAATTAAATCATTAAAGCCGTAGAATTGCAATTTATAAATTAGTTTGACGCTACTGACTATACTAGTAAAAATTTGAAATACTAAATTGTAATCTTGATTGTATAACACAACTTTATTATTGGCTCTTCTTGAGACTAATTTTAAATCTAATGCGTGCTTAATTGTGCGTATAATTAATTCAGCTGGTTCTAGGATTGACAGCAAATTAATTTAAATTGGTATGTAGCTTGCACTTCAAACCGAGCCGTAAAGTTTATTTAACATAAATAAAACTGTTTCAGATAATGGCACCGAACGTCGTGGTAGGCCCAAAGGTTCGGTAAATGGACGACGTAAGAAGAAAAAGCCTGTACCTGAAAAACGTCAAGAACCACAACCAATTGAAACTGAAAATCCAAAGGATGGAGAATTTGTTGAAAGCGAGCATAGCGCTGGATCTACACCACCATCAGAATCTGGAACTAGGCCTAACTCCCCAGAAAGTCTCACAGACTACAAACGAAACACTAGACGAAGGAAAGACGCTAAGAACTTCCCGAAACTGGAAATGAAAACTCGCGGCGCTAAACTACCAAATTTTGCCCTACAAATGAAAGAATCTCATTGGAATAAAAAAGATGTAGAAACAATATACAATAACACATGTGCAAAGAAACAAACGCATGATAGCGACACAGAGAATGAAACCAATGAAAGTAGCTCCAATTCGAGAGATAAAAACATTTCCGATGTTTCAGACAGTGAGGAACCAGAACTTAAGAAACTTAAATTTAGCTTTGACGATCCATTGCCCACAGATAATAAAATGTTCGAAAAAGATCTCCCAATGGCCTGGCTAAAAGGCAAAACTAAACTGGCTCCAAATCCATTGCACTGGACAGTTGATGACGTGTATAACTATCTAAAGAATACAGAAGATTGCAAGTTAGTAGCAGAAAAAATGAAACAAGAAGAAATAGACGGCCAAGCATTTATTATGTTGGATCTGGACATCATAAGAGATTTTCTCCATATGAAAAAGGAATTTGCTATACAATTGTGTAAGCACATAACAATGATAAGATGGTATTATGTAATCAATTTTGAAGAAAATTAATAGTTGTTGTAGTTAATATCTAGTCTTCAAATAAATAAACTGGAAAATCTTGACTTTTACTAGAAAGATGTCTTGCGAAACTTCTTGCAGATGTAATTGCAAATTTTTGATATAAGTGACATGTTCTCTTCTTGGCTGTCTTTAGCAAAATCTTCATTTAATGATATATCTTTTTTTGGACATGATACTTTTATAGGTATACTTCTGTCATTGTGCTGAACATGGTGCTGGGTTATGTATCTTTCCAGTTGTCTTTTCTTGGCTGCTATCATTTTAATATTTTCTGCCGAAGCCAATTGCCCCTCTAGTTCATCTATACTGGAATCTCGTATATCGATTTCAGACAGCTGATTGCGGTTATTCATTTTTATCGCTACATATGGAGCGACACTTAAAAGGTAAATGTTTAGTGTTTCTTCTTTTTTATTCCTGCATTTTGAATCATCAGCCGACTCACATGAATAGTTTTCGTTTTTGTAAGTTTCAACAGCAGTATTCTCCTGAGGTACTACTGGCACATTGGATTCTATCTTAATGTTATCAACAGATGTTTCAGATATGGAGAGTATATTTTGAATCATATTTTTAATAAAATTTTCCATTTCCAGGATAGAATCGTTTTTCTTCGATAATATCTCTCTATACCTCTGCTTATAAAGTTCATAATCATTCATGCTATTATAGAATTTATCAAATATTTCCTGAACAGTGCATTTAAATAGTTTAATGTTAGACTCGAGGCTTTCAATTGACGTATCATCAGATTGAAATTCGTGAGATATATTTTTTAATACTTTTAATTCTAAATTATCTAGTTCTGAGTTAGCCATGGAATCCTTGGTGTCGCCAGACATTCGGTCTTCCTTATAGCTGTTGTCAATTGAGCTATGTTCTTTAACTGGTATCTTATCGTATTCGTATCTTTTGTAGTATTCTTCACAACTGTTTTTGACACGGAAAATGTCGCTCTCATTCAATTTGCTACTGCAATGAGGTTTGCTCATATTCATATCTGATTTAGAAAATGTTCTTGTATCCACTGATACTGAAGGGTAGGCGTTTGTGTACGAACTGTGACGCGCTTGAATGTTATCTAAAGAGAAGTATAAGGTTACATTAAAAAATAATTTAACTGAATGTAAGTAATTAATAGATATATAAAAACTATGTAATTTTACTCTAAACTACTCAAAATCTTTGATAAAATAATATATATGTAAGTGATTACATTTGTCGTTACATACCCATTTGGAACACTGTAATTTATATTTGAATAAATAAAATTATTTAACCTCATAAATAACACACAGTTCAACCTTCAAATTTGATTAAACGATGACAAATAGAAAAAAGTTAATATGGCCAGTATTTTTTCACTAAAAGTACATTACGCATTAAAAGCTAAAAATACTATGCTCCATGCCCTACTTTACGACACCAAAATTTTTACGAAAATTTACAACATAGTAAATATTTCTAAATTTCTTTTCAGCATTATTTTAACCCCGTGGGAAATTATACACAGTTTACCATTTATTTAGTACCATTTTTAAACATTTTAATTTAACGGTGAAGATATTCGAATTTCAAAATCGCGGTAAGTTAACCGCAATGGTTTGTCGGAAGTAGCAATGTTTGTCACGTTATCTGTATAACGGTAGAGCTGTGGAAATCTTCGCAGTTATAGGTCTACCAGGATCTGATGGCAAAAAGGGAAAAAAGAAATTGACGCTAGCAATACTGGGGAAATTGGAGTAAAACGTTTTGATGCTTTTTTTTTCCTTATAGCGGCTGATTCTGTGTGATACATGCAAATATAAAAAATTATTCAATGATCAAGGATAATTTTTGAAAATGTGGCAAATGTGGGGTTTGAAATTTAGATGAAAACTCCAATTACTCTTCGTTCATGAGTTTATTAATCAATTAAGAACTTGAAAATGGTTCCAAATACTGCACATCCATAAAAAAGTCTTCAACGCAGTATTTATGATAAACCTTTCCTCCTGCATCTCAATTAACCGATCTTGTTCCATGAACTGATTTTCAATTTTTATTACATGTTCACAAGATTTTCGCCATGCATCGATCCCTATTTGAGAGAAAGAAACAGTGCAAAACTCATTTATCTTGTTTCTGATCAATTCTAAATCAAAACTATTAAGTTTATTTGTAGTATAAGAAACCCCTGAAATAAACCAAAGTTTTTAATTTAACGGTGAAGATATTCGAATTTCAAAATCGCGGTAAGTTAACCGAATGGTTTGTCGGAAGTAGCAATGTTTGTAGTTATTGTATAACGGAGAGCTGTGGAAATCTTCGCAGTTAAGGTCTAGGATTGATGGCAAAAAAGGGAAAAAGAAATTGACGCTAGCAATACTGGGGAAATTGGAGTAAAACGTTTTGATGTTTTTTTTTCCTTATAGGGTGATTTGTGTATACATGCAAATATAAAAATTATTCAATGATCAAGGATAATTTTTGAAAATGTGGCAAATGTGGGGTTTGAAATTTAGATGAAAACTCAATTACTTTCGTTATGAGTTTATTAATCAATTAAGAACTTGAAAATGGTTCCAAATACTGCACATCCATAAAAAGTCTTCAACGAGTATTTATGATAAACCTTTCCTCCTGCACTCAATTAACCGATCTTGTTCCATGAATGATTTTCAATTTTATTAATGTTCACAAGATTTTCGCCAGCATCGATCCCTATTTGAGAGAAAGAAAAGTGCAAAACTCATTTATCTTGTTTCTGATCAATTCTAAATCAAAACTATCTAAGTTTATTTGTAGTATAAGAAACCCCTGAAATAAACCAAAGTTTAGTATAAATACATAATATAATACACACGAAAAATCCCATAAACCAAAGTATCAACACGTGTATCCAATAACCAGTAACGTTGAGTAGCTCAAATCAGATTGTGTAGTTCTGATCGGTGTATTCTTTGATAAACATTGAAAACAAAATGTCTTGCTTGGATAGAAGAGGTTTCTTCGACATTTTCATCACTTTTAAAGGAAATTTGAAGCCAAACTAAAAACAATTCCTCGAAATTTAGTTACATATGAAATTTTTCTTTTATTGCCAAAAAAGTAATTTTTAAACTTTTTTGAATTGGGTATATCAGATTTTGATGTCTACATTTTTCTAAGCCTTCAATCGGCAGCTTTTCCATCTATAAATGCTTTATCTATGGTTCGAAAGTGTCAACACAGTGTGGCCCAAAAATAATAATAATTTTTACAAAATAGATTTTTTTTTCTACTTTGGATTCTGTTAATATCCAATATCAAGCTTGTTGGCGATCTGCAAACTCAACTAAACTTAAATAATATAGTTTCATTTAACAAGACTCAGAAATTATATTTTGCATAATCTCTACAGTTTCAGTATTAGTTATTTAAGTATTAGGCTAAGAAAAAGTAATACAAGATTTCCTGTTCAAGGTTTTTAAGCTATTTAAAATATTTATTGTGCAAAAAAGGGTTAATAAAAAATATATTATTCACTACAAAAAAACAGTCTATGAACATTAATAAAATTAGTTATTTCCAAGTTAAATTGATGTCATTAGCTTGTACTATTCTTACTACAAATTAATTCACAACATCATAACTATTCCTTTTAAATTAGTAACGATTTTGAAGATGGTATACTTGACGTAATTGATAAAGTATATTATTTTGTCTATGGTTTTAAAAAGAGATAGCGGTTTATATAACCCTATTGAAGGAAAGAGACAGCAATTATCGTACCAACGTAGTATTTAAAACACCTCTCAAAACTCATTCTATGTTGCGACATTCTTCCGTAGTCTATGGTAGTGCTTGAATTGATCACTGTCGAAACGAGATTCGGGAATCTCAAAGGCCCCGCCTATAAAGTATTCTGTAAATATAACTGAAACGGCTCATTCGCGATGTTTTTATAAAATATAAGTTATAGGTAATAAAAAAATATTGTTTAGCTTAAGTTCTTCAATATAATAGAAAGTGGTTTTGTTAGTAAGCCAACTAACAGTCTCAACAATTTTCGTTTTGCTTGTGAGATTTAGCAGTTTTACTAAGTTAATAGAATTACAAAGTGAAAAGCAGTAGAGAAGATAGCACTAAAATATTTGTGAAAAACATTTTGTGTTATAACGGCAGTTGAGTGGTATTACAACTATTTTAGTGGGTGTTGTCATAGCTTCGGATTAGGTCATCGAGTGCCGCGAACATGTGTGCCGAAAAGTTGTCGTATAATTAAAATTCTGTTTTTAATTTCTCAATAGATCGACAAGCAGTACAACATTGCAAAAATGGATGCAAAAGTGTTATGTTTCTTCGTTTTAATTTCTCAAGCGGCGGCCCTGCGTAAGTATACACTTTTAAGTAAGATAAAAGAGCTTAAGACACTTTACTGTTATCATTTTGCCAACGTCTCGCGCGGCAAGTTCATTAACTTATTTGTTTATTTGTCTCGCAACAGAGGGATAACGCTTTAGACAAAAGTTATTAACTTAAGTAAAATCAAAACAAAACAATTTTATGTTCTAATAAGATCATTTTAATTTGAGGCCTATTACATAGTATCTATATTATATAAATATAGTCCTAAATAATGTGTGTTAATATTAATTATTACTTTAACTCTTAATTCCTTAGTTAAGCTGTTAAAGTGTCTGAACTCATAATAATCAAATAACTCAAAACAACTGGTTAACTTCTAAATTAAAAACCTAACAATCAATCATATTTTATTTTCAAATTCATTCAGTGAATTTACCAATGAAACTCTTACTTTGAAACATAAAAGCAAGAAACTATCTATAAGCCAAGTTGCATTCAAAGCTAGCTAGTTCAAGGACACTGCATTTATTATAGCACTGATCAGTTGCTTTATCATTATATAAAACGGATTTGGAAGAAAACTACAAATGCGCTATTGATTTCATATATATATAAGGTGGTTTTAGTGTTCTCTATCAATCCCTTTATGTAACCTAAAGTACATCGTTGGGACATTTTAGGACAAATTTAATTGATGGCCTTCTGAGTCTGATATCATTCTTATTCTAGGGGCCTTCAATATCATCAGTAAATGTATACAAATTTGTCATTTTCCACGGCAAAAATATTTGACATTCTTATTGATTTAAATGTATTTTTATACTCTTCTTTTTTATTTACTCATGTATTAGTTTGCAAATGAAAAAACATTTATTAACTAATTTAGGCCTCTGGGAAATTAATTAATTAAAGCATAAGTTTTTAAAACTTCCCAATGTTAAGAATCCCCATGTACATTTAAGTCTTTTCTTTGACTCTATGTAACACCTAATAAAAACTTTTTCATAAAATAGGACAGTGTTTCAACTCAAAACTGGGTAAAATCCTTGCATAAACCTACTTCACACCATTGTTAGACCTCATGTTTCATGTAAAGTTTCAGTATCCTTTAGTATTCATATACTGTGAATGAGGTAATTTTTTTTGTTATTTTTAAATTTCTGCAATGTTTTAAGCATTCTGAACCCATTACATTTAACAAATGATTCAGTTCAGTTCATACAATTTCCTTGCAATAGCTCTGCTGCATACATTGATATATGTACATTATGTATACATTACAATATATACATTGATTATTCATTTAGAGTACAAGTAAAAATGTATAGTAGGTATAAGAATTTTTATATTTTTTTTCAGTTCTTTTAAATAGCTATGTTATAAAAAGAACAATTTGTTTAAACAAAATGATTAACAACACACATTATAATTATGTTTTATATATCTAATACAATTATATAAAAAAGAGAAATAGGGATTAGATAGACTGAGATATTTATTAAATCCCATCCTTTTATATTTTAAGTGTCTGTCTAACACTTGAATCTTTATAATTATAAATATATATACATAATTATGTACATATCAATCACAAGTAGCTAAACAATTTTTGAATTTAGCTTTGACTGTACTTTGGAAATATATTTAAATAGGTATATGTAGACAAAGTTACATAGGGGTAACCATATGCCATAAAGTCAAAAAAGTAAAAATCATTTATTCATAAACGTAACAAAATGTGCACTTATGAACGTCAATAAAGAAATACATATTAAATGCTTCTAATTTTACATTTACTGCCAGTTCTCAAATCCAGTATAACTGGCAATAAACTCTCCGCCACTCTTTTTAATCATCAAGTTTTTTGTTTTACACAATGTATGTAAGAAGCTGCAACCATTACATTATGTTCCACATGACATAAGGTAATAAGGCAAGGATGATACAATATTCTTAAAATTTCTGTTCATTATTAAATACTTTTATAGCAATCTTTATTGCATTGCCATTTAAACTTATGAGAACTCATTGTAACAGTAAAAAAATCTTGCTTATATTGGTCACAGTACTGCTCTGGCTAGATTTTACAAGAGAAAAGTTGGCAGTAGTAATTAACAATATTTTATTTTCAACACTCTTGCTGTTGCCTCCAACTGCATTAAAGAATCTTCACACCCACTTAAATTTATATAATATTCAGAATTACACACATCTTACACAGAATTTAAATTATCCAATACTTAAATCTTAGTGCAATAACACACTTGAACTTTTGTTGCATAATTAAAGCACTTGTTCCCCTCACAAGTTGAGAGTTAGGGAATGTTAGTTTTATGAATTTTAAATAAGGGTTAGTTCATAGCCCACATAGTGTACCAATGCTGATTACAATTATAAAATGTATTTCCTTTAGATAATATAACAGTAAATTAAATGTTGGGAAATAAAATAATATAAAAAGGATAAAATACCCACGCTATATTAAAATATTTCGTCAATGTATATCATGGTAGAAAACACTACGATTTTGTAGATAATTTGTATGAACGAATAGCAATATACGTTCTAAAGAAGGTATATTTCAGAGCCGTGCGTTCATGCAAAGAGCAGAGAAACATCTTGTTATAAATTGATTGTGTTTACAGTGACGTCACCGCCTCGGATAGTCAAGCAACCGACGGTGGAAGAACTGCTGTTCCAAGTGGCACAACCAGGAGAAGTTGACAAACCCTTCATAATAGAATGTGAAGCTGAAGGAGAGCCGGCGCCTAAGTATGTATATATTTAATCTAAGTACTTCGTATCTGAGTTTATCATGTATTTGACTTATTCTTATTATTTATGGGATTAGATATAATTGTTTCGATTTGAGACGTCCGTAAGGTTGGACGCCCAGACTTTAAGAAATGTCGAAAGCAATGCATGTGTCTGGCCCTTGCTACACTGGCCAATTATTTTGTAATGTAATGTGAAAATCCCAATATTTCGTTTATCAGGGAAATGCCGGAAACATAATTTCCATTTGAATCAGTCACACCATTCATTATTTAACAATAGATTATGTATGAATTGAAATTTACGACTGTCATTTTAATTAAATATATAAAATGGGTATCAAAGGTATATATTAAAAAAGAAACTTGTAACCTTCTTCTTTTCTATATATACTAGTATCAGATTTGTATGTTTGTAACGTATAAACTCCAAAAAATTTCGACGAAGTTCCAATATTCACTCACTTGTAATGACAATGCTAAATTATTCCACAGCCGAAACCAAAACAGGTCGGTAATTTTCAATAAAGCTAAAAAAAGCTATTGTCCTAGTGCAATATAATTATAATTACTTTGTGTATAATATAGGAACCGCAATATGAACGAGTCTTTGTGTGTAATGTAAAGTCGGTCGATGGGTTATACAGTTAATTTGTAAGAGCAGAACTAGCTGCATAGTAAAGGGAAATTTATTCTACGATTATAAAGCTTAACGCTTTTGTTTTAATTCAAAAATGCATTATAATTTTATATACCTGCTTTACGATTAGCAATAAGCTGAGTATCCATAATTCCCCATAATTTATTTTCAATATACTTAAAAGCGTTTCAGAAGGGTTCGAGCCCTCGATTACAAACGATAAAAAACCCTCTAATATAGAATATCCGCATTCATATTTTCCGCGTACCTTATGGGATTATTCGTGGATTTGCTCCTGAAAACGCTTGACTTTCTTTTGTTAATAATAAGTAAACTATTTTAAGTGATGAAATGAGTTAAAAATTTCTACTCTTTCATTCGTTACTTATTTACTTATTTACTGATATATGTTTACATACGGAACAAAACACAGTAGTATAATATATAGATACAGTTTTAGTGTTACATGTCACCATACAATACCTCTGCACATGGACGCGAAATAACCTCACGAATATATTATCTGTCCCCATGACTTTTGCCCAAAGCTTGTATTTTCTGAAGCGAATAAAGCTCCGGTCAATGCCCTCGGTCCATTAGTTGTACAAACATATCGAATTTTCTCTGAAAATTTTGCTTCAATCTTGCCTCGCGCTGGCCGGAAAAGTGAGCCGGTATAATTGGTTACCGTAAGTGGTATGCGTTTAATTGATTCAAGTTTTTTTTGATGTACCATTTATGTGTCGCGACTACTTGTCTCTGTGTTACGGTCAAAGCTAATAGGCATTAACATTTATGGTAAGAGTAACGTGATTAAGTATGCTTCTCAGGCGCATATCGTCACTGTAGAATGATAACCTCGTATGTCAAAAACTATTTATTTTTTATTCTTAGCCTCTTATGTCATTTAACTGGTATAATCATGAAGTAAGGACTTTTTTATGTTATTCATAAATAAGTCCTTCTTACCATCTAAAACTATGGACAAAAACACATAATAATATTTTAACAAACATTGATGAAATTAAACATTTTTTTCGTATCCTGTAATGTTTGGTTCTCTGGACTAACGAGGTTATACATTCTACACTCTACAGCGACGATATATCGTTCAAACTTCTGTAGTATAAAGAGAACCTTCAATGGGTCAAAATATTATTTCTGAATAAAATTTGATCGATGCATGAGATTGTGACGATGGGTTAAGCTTTGCGTTTGTTACAACTGATATATATCCATCGTTGTTTACGTGTTATAAAAATGTCTACAATTTGGAGCAAGCGGCATTTAACTTATGAATAAACCGGAGCTTGTTTATATTCAGTTATTTTTTAATTTTATTATCCGCTCATACGTTGAATAGAATCATTGAATATTATGAGCAGAGTATTTTAATCCTTTTGCGACATCGCTCACCTCCAAGAACTAGAAAAAAAGTAACCGCCGAATCTGGAAGTCTGTTTCTTAACTATTTTAAAATAGCATACTGAAAGACTGTTAGTTCTATTCTATTCATCATATTCATTGTAACTAAAATCATTAGGCCTTGTACAATAAAAAACACAACTTTTAAAGGCTTGAAATTTCTGTATAAAACAGATATTTAAAAAAAAATAATCTCAGTTGTTATCAAGGTTGCGAGTCGCACGCTGAAGCCACTAGGCTATAATTGCTTATACATTATATATCATAAAAAGTTAGTAAAGTCTAGTGGGTTTATTGTTAGTTCTTGCCTTGGCTTCGGTGTCCATCTTGGATAGTCTATAGAAACCAGATCCATGTAGGACTAGGTCAAGGCGTGGATACCTAAGCTTTGTGAGTGCCTACGAGGCCTCGAGACAAGCGACTGTATGTGATGTGGAGCAGACATTTTATGAGTGTACTATGTCATAGTTTAAATAATTTTAAAGGTATTTTTTTTTGTTTTATCACGTAATTTTATTAATTACTACAACACTTATTGGTCATAAATTATAACTGTTTATTTGATAATGTTCATTATGTGATTATAAACGTCTTATTTACATAGTTCTCCTTTCTGTGCCTAACACATGTCGATTTGGGTCTAAGATTGTTTTGTCTGGGCTTAAACGTAAGGACTAGCGTTGATAATAACAATAACCACATGACTAACACACTCTGCTTCAAAATAGATGCATGGGTTCTAAATAAAAATTATTTCTACATTAATTAACTTTTGGTTTATGTAGCTTTCATGGGCCTTAGTAAATTGTATGTAAATAAACAATCCAATAAAATAAACTCACTTTGTTCTTTTTTACATTCAAATCCTGTACGTGCTCATATTCAGTATGTTATTTATCGCCCTTAGTCATACGTATTATCGGAATACGGTAACAAAATTGCGAAATATACTGAATGCACAAAATCCCAAAAGCCATCACTCGTTGGAGCGTAACGATGCTCGCGACTCCACGAGGGTCCTTACATGACGGTTTTGTATTGCAATACAAATATTGCGTCAAACTTTTAAGCTTAGGGTAAAAATATACGCAATCTGTATTTTGCGGTAGATTTATGATTTTAGATAAGGATGAGAAACGTAATTGATTATTTGTACTTCATTTTATTACTATACTACCCTCTGTTCACAATAGTGTACGGAAAATTATGGCTAGTATAAATGACAGAAGTGAATGCACAGAAGCTTTTACTTTTACTTTTTATTTTTCTTATTACATGCGCGACTTTTATTCACGCATAAATTGGCCAAGTTACGCGCTAAGACTAAGGGTGAGATCTATAGTGCGCACTTAGACTTTGCTCTGACTTAACTATCGAGCTAAGACACAGTCGGTATTTATAGAGCAAACTACGAATCTCTCCCTAGTGTTGGCTTAGCTTAATCTCAAGTCCACGAAATCGACGACTTACCAAAAACTTTGACTATAAGCCTAACAAAAATAATGGCCCAAAATTTGCTTTACCATCATATCTTTTACTGGACTTTTTATTTTTGTCGGTTTTTAATGAACGGTGTTGCCATTTTGTATCGGAGTTCCATAGACTTTGGGAAAAATAGAATTTGAATTCAAAGAAATTATAAATGATCTTGATAAATACCTATGAAATGCATGAAATAAAATAATTACACATTATTATGGTATTTATTGTTGTTTATTTATATTATTTATGTAATTGTTCAAACCCCATTTTTGAGAAATCTTAAAAATAACTGGTGTGATTTTGTATGTCACCTGGCAGCCCTGGCAATTGGCATATTATAGTGACAACGAAATTCAAACTATAACCTAACCAAAACATTGCGATCCGTTCTACGTAATAAAATTATTGTCATCTTTAAATAATTAATACATTTTCTAAAGGTTACTCGTGAATTTCTAGTTATTGCAATAATAAAATAAATGAATACATAAATAACAATAAATTGAAGATATATGTGTACCGTTTTAGATTTTTAAATATTTGTTATTGTTAACTTTTTTAAAGGATAATAAACAAAGTATTGCATGAAATGAAACATCAATTTGTATTTTGACATTTTCTGTCTTAGCTTGGGCTTAGCTTAATCTCACCGTTAAAATGTCTATAAATACGAAATCATAGTTTAACCTTAGTGTACACTAAGCAAAGTTTTTCGTAAGGTAAGTCTGAGCAAAGTCCAAGTGCGCACTATAGATCTCACCCTAAGTATAACGCCCCTAAACATATTGGGTTTTGTCAAAAACGAGAATTAGCGGGAACTTTGACTACTTTTAAAATTTAATAGACATTGAATTGAGACATTAGTTCATAATTTCTCAGTCTCTAAGTTCATAATTTATTTATTACAATTGACTTACCTTATATAGGAAATTATAAACGAATTAATAATTCACCGTTTGTCTTGAAGATAAAAGCCAATTTCTGCCTCGTGCCGATATGCATTTTTCAATATATTCTTTCAATTCACTATTATAATGCTCCGACGTAGAATCGGCAGCTATTGTGTTCGTTTTATTGTTAGCGTGTTTCGAAAGCGGTCTGTAAGCAACGGACTACAAAACACCCCGTAAACTTTTAATTCGCGATCTATTGTTAATGGCTGCTTTGTATTTCCGCTTATATTTTCGTAGTTCGGCGTTTGGCAGTTTGCGTGTAATAATGCGTAATAAAGAAAAATTTTTACGATATTGCCATACGCTTTTTTAATATTGGCCATATAGACATAATATCTTACAAATTATTAATGGAATAGATAACAGATTTAAAGAGCTTTAAGTTGTATTTTGAAAAACGTGCTATGCAATATCTAAGAAGATTTTTGAAGTTATAGGTACTTCTTTTGCGCGTTAGCGCGATGCGGCGCACACCGTCACAAAAAACAGACACTGAAG